TGTATATCTAAGCGATATATACCTAAGAATATATACCTAAGAAATATTTTAGAGCACATATATATAATTTTCTATAGAGTACATGCAATATGACAAAATTATAATATAGTAAATATATAAACCAGTAATAGTCACCTAATACTCATCAAGTATTACATACTATATACAATTGTATGTGCTATATACTTTATGTTTTGTTTTGCTTTTTTGGTTTGGTACCGGGGATCGAACTTGGGACCTTGCGCTTGCGAGGCAGGCAGCTGAACTACTGAGCTAAATCCCCGGCCAATGTGCTATATACTTTTATATGACTGGCAGCAAAGTAGGTTTGTTTATACCACTGTTATGGTTTAGATCTAAAATGCTCCCTAAAAGTCTCATTTTCAGAGGAGGAGCTTGTGGAAAGTGATTGGAACCAAGGGGGTGCTATACTCTTCCCGGCTAAATGTCCTGTTGGAGGGTGTATCCTGGTCAGAGGAAGTAGATCAAGGCATGGGTATGACCTGAAAGAGTATATTCTTAGCCTTGGCTCTTCCTCTCTGCTTCCTGGCAGCCATGGGGTGAGCAACTGTCTTCCACCATGTCCTTCCTCCACGCTGTTTGTCCCCTGGAGGCAGCCCACCATGTACTGAACCTCACTCCGAGGCAAATAAAGATCTCTTTCTTTAAGTTTGAATGCCAGATATTTTGTCTCAGTGATGGGAAAGTGATTAATACAATCACTGTCATTATAAAAATGTGTATTGTAATGTGTTGTATTACAACATTATGACAACTGTGATGTCACTAGGCTACAGGAATTTTTCATCTCCATTGTAATCTTATGGGACCACTATCATGTATGTGATTTGCTGTTGTCCAAAATGTTATGGAGCACCAGTCTGTATCCCTGGAGATTTTTAGCCTATAAATAACTCTTTGCACTTTCCAATAATTTTTTCTCTTTCCTTGAAACTAATTAGTTGAAGAAGCAGTTAGTTTTAATGTGCTTCCCACAAACTTGGAAGCATACCAAACTCACCTTGAAATGGTTCATCTAGTTAAACACTGAACTTTGGTGTAATAATGGAAAACAGGACGCTTTTAAATTAAACCTAGATTCACACTTGAATTTTGTCCTTTATCTGAAAGTTTGCCATAAAACCCTCCACAAAGTAAAACCAAAACCAAAGCAAACGAAAACAAAAAGACAGTTCAAAATAAATACATAATGGCAAACAGTACCATATAATGCTATTAGAAGATAGAAAAATGGGAATCAAAATTATGTCAGCAGATGAAAATGTTCTTCTAATTGAAAAACACCACACAAAATACCCTCCAAACTATGAAACAGAAAAAACTACAACACAGCACACTAACCTGAATATGTTAAAACAAGATTTGCACATTAAAAAAATCACCTAGACTAGAAAATTCAAAATAAATCAGAACAGAGATAGAAAAACAGGAAAATGTGAAATGAGCATTGACTAAGGTCAGGAAATGGATGAAAAAGACAAAATAATCTTAGAAAGAAAGCATAAATTTCAAGGTGCCCAAGGGAAAATACTTTGGACTACAAACATAATAAGGGTTATAGAGGAGAGGAATGAAAACCATTAAGAGAACAAACTGAAATAAAGAAAAAGACGATAGTATCAGAAAAATAAATACAATCAGCAAAGAAAATACATCCACTTAGAGTAAAAGGAAGATACAGAATGAAAAGACCAGTAGAATGACAACACAAAGTGAAAAGGGCTCTTACCTGTCCACACCTGATGAAATTTCAGAATAAAGAGATTCTTGGCGGGGCGCTGGGCAGGGATGAGGTGAGGCGTTGGAGGCTGGAGGGTCTGCGCGAGGCAGATCCGGAGACAAGGTGGCCCGCTCAGTGCCAGCGGGTAGAGGGCGCCAGCGGGTAGCGGGCGCCCGGGAAGAGCGAGCATGAAGGGCCCCGCAGGAGCTGGCTTGTCGACTGCTGCACACTTTGCTCTGCATGCACCGCGAGCTGTCCTCCGGAAGCAATGTTTTCAGAGTTCAAAAGGAAAAATAAACTATTTTCTACCTGGAATTCAATAATGAACCAAGTAAGTATGAGAACAAAATAAAGGTATTGTTACCCATATGAAATATGATGAACATATGTTGCATTTTGTCTGCTCAGCATCCTTTTCCTCACTGTTTGACAACTTTTTATATTTTAGAGGAATTTCCATCCCTCTATACTCTGGTGGAACTTCTAACAGAAGTTTTTTGCCTTTCGATAGCCAAGAGGCAACCATAGGATTTAAACCGGAACAAGGAGGGTCTCTTTCCCTGGACTGGGAATCATGAACAGAGAGACTCATGATGATAAGAGTCCACTCCTGAGGTACGTTCTCATAAAAGATTCATAAACATTTTTTGCAACCTTCTCTGGAGCTGCAAATTTTTTCCCCTTTTAAAGCCCAGTTCCTTAGTCTTCTCTAATCTGTAATCATCCCATTATTCTTCAAATAAATTTTCTGTTTTAAAAATAAGATTCTGTTTCTACTGTAGTATCTGATACAACTAGGACTCAGAAATTATATCCAATGCATTATTCTTAGGAAGTTATTTGAGGCTATACTCCAGCAAAACAAAAGACATGGGACCCAGATAGAACCAGAGAAAATAGAGAACAGTGAAAAGCAAATCCTAGCATGACCAGAGGGCAGCAAAACTGAGAATAACTAGTCCAAACTGGAACAATATGACAGAGGGCTCCTGACGAAAAAAACCCCCCCAAAACAAAACAAAACAAAAAACCCAGAAAAAAAGGAAAGATTGTTATGCAGTATACTAAGTATAACCAAAAGACAAAAAACTTGAATATATAGAGGTACATAATTTTGACAAAATTCAATACTCTTTAATATTAAAAACTCTTTAACAAATTTGGTATTGAAGGAATGTCCCTCAACACAATAAATGCCACATATAACAAACCTATAGCTAACATCATACTCAGTAGGGAAAAGCTGTTTTTCTTCTAGGATCAGGAACAAGGCAAGGATGCTTATTCAACATTTACTAGATTTTCTACCTAGAGCAGTTAGGCAAAAGGAAGAAATGAAAGGCATCTGAATTAGAAGGAAATAAGTGAAAATTGTTTGTAGGTTATATGATCATATATGTAGGAAACACTAACTCCATCAAAAAACTCAATGAATTTAGTAAAATCCATGAGGCAAAATTAATACACAAAAATCAGTAGTGTTTCTTACTGTAACAATGGACTATCCAAAACATTAAGGAAAAATGCTTAGTACATTTAAACAAGAAGGTAAAAGATTCATATGAAAGCTATAAAATATTGATGAAAGGATAGAAGAAGACACAAATAAATGGAAAAACATCTCATGTTTATAGATTGGAAGGATTAATTTTGTTAAAATTTCCATGTTACCTGAAGTGATCTACAGATTCAATGTAATCCCTGTTAAAATTCCACTGATATTTTTCACAAAAATAGAAAACACTATATAAAAAATATATATGGAGGGCTGGGGATTTGGCTCAGTGGTTCTGCTGCCTGCCTCACAAGTGCAAGGTCCCAAGTTGGATCCCCAGTACAAAACAAAACAAACAAAAAACCCCACAAAGCATATATATATTTATATATATATATATATAAATATATATATATTATATATAA